GAGGAGTTCTCTTCTGGGTTGAAATGACCTGTCATGGCCTAAACAGAGTTCAGTTTGTGACAGAGCTCCTGTCCTCTCGTCAGGCCTGTTCGAGACCTGCTTCGAGGCAGTAAATCTTGTTTCTTCACTCGAGGAGACCCCTACATATGTATGGATCACATGGGTTGTTACAGACATCTGGTGAAAATTTCATTTCATTAGCACCTCTAGTAATATATTTACTGAGAAAAATGKTGACGTGTTCAATACTTATTTTACCMGYTGWATCTAAGTTTCTGCTGGTTATTCTCGACTGAGTCAGTGTATTACTCAGAGCAGAAAGTGACACGTGAGAATACTTTTTAATCTCTATCTACAGCTCTAGATTTACTTCCATAGTACCCAGCAGCTTCAATAATAAAACACTGAATATAAAAAAAAGACAAAATTGGGGCTTTATTTCATAATGACGCAAAAAAAAAATCCAACTCCATCTGTAAAGCTGCTCAAGCTGCTCTGCTCTGACTGTTAACATACCCTATCAYAGCTCCGTATGCAAACTACACTGTAGCCTCCAGAGACTCATAAATACATCAGAGAAAATCATCAGCCTCCCATCGCCCAAACTGGAAGACTTCTTCCAAATCTGCTTCGAGAAAGACGAAACTCCACTCCTCTCACTTCTGCCATATGGCGGGGGGCTACAGGGCTTTTCACAGCCCACACCTCAGAGCTTGAAAGCAGCTTTTTTTTATTTCCCAGCGCTGTCACCACACTGAACTCTGATAATCACGTCCTGCTTCTGCTGTCATCACCTTCATCATCGCTAACTCAGGTCTGCTGATCCACACGCCACATGCTGTTCCTGTTGGAGCAGCCGTGCTGGAATTCAGACTTTAATAGAAGCCTGAACATATGTTTTAACTCCATATGCCATAACCGTTAATGAAAGAAGCCACAAGAAACCTTTGTGCAAAAACGACTCACTGTAAATCTCTGACTCAGTCTCACTTCTTTAAAGGGAACATATCCTGCAAAGATGTAGTTGTTAAAAACATTTTGTTGTGGACTTGGAGGCTCTACGAGGCAGAAAAGTTGAATTTAGTTTCTCCTGGTGCTGCAAAGATATCTTTATATTCTGTTTGGGTCACCTGTTCAGTTGTCACTATTTTCTGAACTATTACCTCACAAAATCTGTGACAGAGCAGACGTACATACAGCAGGGGTTCTCAAACTTTTCCAAACAGCATTAGCCCCACCTCTAACCTCAACACCCAAAAAAAGAAAAAAAAAAGATGCAAAATATGTATCAAAACATCAACTTTTACAATGTTTCTTGTGGAATTTTTATTCACGTGTATAATACCAAAAATCCATACATTTTGGTGGGGGCTGAATTAACAGTTGACTTCTGCTCTGGTCCGGAAGCTCGTGCTGCTCGTCCTCGAGTCTGTGTCCCCAAATACTGTTTCCCCACCAGAGGGCGCACCGCAAAGCCTGAAAAACCCTCAAGTCCGTCTGAAACTAGTGTCGGCAACGTACATGAGGATTCGATTTTTTTATGATTTTAAGCTCAAAAAATGGGTTTGGTATTTAACCTGAGATGTTATTATACATGAATAAATATGGTACTACATTTGTTTAGCACATACGTTTTCCTAACATGCTTTAAGCACGATTATATTCCTACAACAAAACAACTTTCCAATGAAACGTTGTCGATAAGAACAGAATAGAAATCAAATCTTTCTTAAACTCTTAAATAACATTTCAATAAATTATTCTAAATTATGTTTCAAAATATTGACAGAAAAAACATTGATTAGATTTTTTTCTTGACTTCCCTCCAGCTTTCTTAGGCCTCCCTAGCGCCCCCTGGTGGCCACGGCCCCCACTGTGAAAAACACATCTAAAATCTGGACTTACCAACTACAGTTTGGTGGTCTTCATTCTCCTCTGGCTCTGGGTCAGACTCTGGCTCTGGGCCAGACTCTGGCTCTGGGCCAGACTCTGGCTCTGGGCCAGACTCTGGCTCTGGGTCAGACTCTGGCTCTGGGTCAATCTCTGGCTCTGGGTCAATCTCTGGCTCTGGGCCAGACTCTGGCTCTGGGCCAGGCTCTGGGTCAATCTCTGGCTCTGGG